AATGCGATTCAATCTTTCTTCTTTTTCAGTTTGTGTAGTTGTAATCATGTTTGAACTCACGGGAGCATTGACATACATATTGCCAACCATGGTATGGTGATTCCTTGCCATTTTTTCATCAATTATCAATTGTATTAATCTGATATTCTCGACAGATAACGTTAATGGTGACAAAGACCGTAGGAGATCTTTTTGGACACGGCGGAATATATCCTTTTATGACAAACTCGCGCGCCTATTGTTACTATTGTTGTTGCTGTTATAAATTCTTAATTGAAGCGCACTGCTGACCGAATGATCCGTCTCAATGGATTTCCATTTTTGGATAAAGAAGAGTATTCATTTGATGTTCCGGGTATTTGTCGCATTATGCACACCCTCCTTCTCCAGTTCAAGATCAATTACACACGTATAATAACAATTGCAACGATTGTTCTTTTTGAAAAAAAAAAACAAAAAACAGTGGCCACCGTCATGAGGAAGGATCTTACAGTAATGACTGCTTCAGGACTAAAATTGGACGAAATTGGTATGATACCTCCTCATGATTCCCATTATCATTTATAATTTATCGGGATTGTGAGCTTTCATTTATATATTAAATCGCCTTCGGCTTTCGGGGCTATTGATTTTAGATCAGATCTTATTAGAAACAAACTTTCAAGGATTCCCGGTAGTCGCCGATAAAAAGAATATGACTCTGCTTGGATACATAGGCCGTGTGGAATTAAAATATGCAATAGGTACTAATCCAGATTTAACATTTGTTATTGTAAGACGGAGCTCGAGACCAAAAATCAATCGTTTTTTTTTTTTTTTTTTTTTACTTTTTCCAGACAAGGCAAAGAGGGTTCGAGGGACATCCAATACGGCTCACTGTTACTTCAATCCTGAGGAGAGCACTTTCAGGGATACCGATGATGGGGATAGTTCGTCTAATTTTATTGATTTCGCTTCATACATCGATCAAGTAAGTCTTTAACTTGGTATAAAATGACCCTTGTAGAAATGAAATTTCGTAAAATTTATCCACCGAAAATATTCTACTAGACACCGATAACCGTAAATCCGCGCCTACCGCTCGAGACTGTCATGGACTTATTCAAGAAGATGGGGTTTGTTATTGCAATATCATGCATTCATCATTTTGGGGGCATATAGTTGACCACGTATATTTTTTAAACAGTCCTCGCGTGATCCTCATTGAGCACATGGGTAAGCTGGTAGGCCTTATAACAGTAAAAGACGAGCTGAAATACATCGCGAGAAAGGAGGCAGAAGAGAACGGTGATTCCAGGGCGTACGATGATTCAAGTCCATCAGGATCATCTGATGAGGATGAGCCGAGAACTTCGGAAAGCAGAAAGCGCAGCACTGACTCGTATTTTGAAGTGAACAAAAGGAGAACAAGTGATGTATGATGAACGTCAAAACGAAACCTTGTTAGATTTCCTTTATTATCTGAACAAATAATCTTAGACTATTATTATTGTTTTCTTTTTTTTAAAAAAATTTTTTTTAGAAATATATATCATAATAAGTTAGATTAAACTTAATAAAAAGGTTTCATCTTGGCTAGAAAAACGAAGCCACCGAAAGGGCCTTATGATATTAAAATCATTTTTATCATGATCACATGTGGATGTAGTAACACGATTTATTGAGCGTAAAAAATTTTTGAAAAAGAACACCATTACGAATATGCGGTTATTGTTTGCTTTTTTTTTTGCAAAGGTTGTAAAAACAACAATTGTTAAGATATATCCTTTAATATTCAAGGAATATGGATGGATCTGGGTTTATTATCACGGTATCATGAAAAGTAAGTCGAGACCATGATAAATTTACCAGCGTCAATTTCATTAAAAAGTAAATTT